GAATTGGATTTTTTGTTTCTTCTGAAAACTGCAAAGTACTTAATGACAACCTTTTGAGCTCAAAAAGGGATGATTTCGAACGATACTGGATCCGGGTAAAAATACATGATCAAACTTTTAGTGTTGGTATTACCTATTATCCTAATGATGGTAAAGATCCAGAATGTAGTCATGCTCTTACTGATGAATTAATCTCAAATATTGCAACTCTAGAAAATACTGGTGATTTTGTGCTATTAATGGGTGATTTCAATGGCAAGCTAAACAAATTCAATAAAAATGACTCCCCTAGTCCTAATGGTGAAATGGTTGAAACATTATGTGAAGTCACAAACATGCAGGTTCTAAATTTGTCAAGTAAGTGTAATGGTTCATATACATGGTTTCGAGGAAATATAACATCCACAATTGATTATTTGTTATGTAACCAAGCCCTTTATGATAAGCTTTCCTCTATGATAATTGATGAGGAAGGTAATTTTTCAATTGGAAGCGACCACTGCATGATTATGACGGATTTTGATGTAAAAAAATCTAGTACAAACTCATGTAAGCCAGTTTTGAAACATATTAACAAAACCAGTCCTGATGCATGCCTTTGGAAAATGAATGATAAAACAGATTGGAAACTTTTTAAGTCTGCTTTAAATGATGATTTCGCAGACTGGAACCCCACGGTTTTTGCAACCCCTGAAGAAATGTGGGTCTGTTGGAGGGATAAAGTCATTAATACAGGGAATAACACGATTGGTCACATGAACATATCACTAAACCATAGATCCTTTTGGGATAAAGAACTAAAAAAGCTCATCCAGAGTCGTAAGGAAGCTAACCAGTTTTGTAGGTACTGGCGAGCCTCTGGCCTCTCCGATCTCGATTGTTTTGACGATATTTGGAAAATTTATATTGAAAGGAAAGACCGAGTCCGACAATATATTAAAGAAAAGATGGTAAGAAAACACATAAAGGTTCTTACTAAAAATGCTTCTAAAAAATCATCAAGCTCAAGATCTTATTGGCGAACTCTTAATATGTTTAATCAACAAAATGATACCCCCATAAAAGTACAACACCCCGAATACCCGGACATAATTATTGATGACCCAAAAAGAGTCGCTAAAATAATGAATGACTACTGGGCTAATGTTGGCCCCAAAAATCACAACCCACAATCACCAGAGATTGAAATATCAAAACATGCTGAGAAGCTTGACAATATTGGAAACAAGCTAAATGATCCGCATTCCAGCCATTTCGACTTTGATATCATCGATCAACTCATCTTTGATTCCGAAACTTTAGTCTCACATATAAAAAGACTCCCAAATGGTAAAGCAGTAGGGACTGATATGATACCCTATGAATTCATTAAGTATGGAGGTACATCAATGATTAGAACACTCCTAGATATTTTTAAAATTTGTAAAACACATGAAACATATCCATCCCAATGACTTGTGGTGTAAAGCAGGGTTGTACTCTTTCCACAACACTGTTTTCAATTGTAATGACAGATCTCCAAGACGAACTTTTAAAAGCGAATGTTGGGATCTCATTTAATGACCAAAAATTCCCAAGTTTGATGTGGGCTGATGACATTGTCCTTCTCGGTCAATCTGAAAATGACTTGAAATCTATGTTACAAGTTGCAAATAAGTTCGCAATTAAATGGGGGTCTAGATTTAGTGAGAAAAAATCCAAAATTATGGTCGTAGGTAAGAAAATTGATAAACTTAAACATTGGTCTTTGGGAGATCTAAAATTAAATGAGGTTCAAACATATAAATACCTAGGAATTTTTATTGATAGGTCCTTAAAAGATTCTTGTCACATCATTGACAAACTTGCGCCAAACGCGGTCAAGCTGAAAAACCATATTTCATATACCCTTAGTAAACATCTCAATGCTAAGAGGATTGATTTTGGGAACACGTTATATACAAGTAAATTTCTACCAAGCATCTTACATGGGTGTGGTGTATGGGTTACAGATACAAAAGTGATCAGAAATAAACTTCAGTCGATGCAATATAACGCAGCGCGAGCAATTTTCAATATCAAAAGCACTCCGGCATATATTGCCGCTATAAACGAGCTAGGATGGACTCCTATACATTTTATTGTGCTGAAACGACAAGTTGAATACTTTTTTCATCTTTTAGGCAAAAGTGAGAATTCTCTTATAAGCAACCTCATCGCAGCTTTGTCACATAGACTTAAAAATAATAAAACCAATAGCTGGAAATACATTGAACAAATGGATGACATTCTGTCCTCCATCGGTTTCGTTGGCATAAGTCATGATTCTGATAAAATGATTAATGAATACGATAACAGGATAAGGGAAGAATGTAAATCTTATACTGAGAATGAAATTGATCAAAAATCATCCTTGTCCTTTTATAGTACGCTTTTCACAAGAAAAGGACTTCAAAACTACCTTAGAAATGACTATGACTTTCAGGGCGCAAGGATAAAGTTCCTTGCGAGATTAGGAAAGTTCCAATCAAAAAGTGAAACATATAGATGGAAAAATAAACTTTCGGACCCCAATTGCAATTTTTGTACAAATATGATTGAAACGGTAGAACATAGACTTCTACTCTGTCCCCACTATAATGACCATCGTAATGTGTTCTTCAAAACAATTGAAAGCAAAATTCCATCTGCCCTGAGTGAAACATTCTTCGTGTCTTGACCTGAATATAAACTTCAATGGATTCTAGGTGATGAGGCTTTTAGACTTGGGGGACAAGATTTAGGTTCAACATTTGACACAGTATCTAAAATGTTTTTACTTAAGATGTATTAGTTATTTAGTATTTTAGTCGCATAGGAAACCTATTTTAACCATTAAAGTTTTAGTGCAATCTTAAAGATTCTTAAGACTCAGTTTTAGATATATTATGTTTTATTGTAAAGATGCACCTTTGAAAGTGTGCCGCTGATACAAAAGCGTAGTTCTGAATAAATAAATAAAATAAATAAAATATTCATTTTTAATGTGCCTTTCACTACTACATGGTAACCATAGTTTTGGTAATGGTTTATTAATTTTAAAAGCATATCTTCCAGCATGTGTATCAAGCACAAGTAATACAATAAGTGAGTTATCATTAATTAATTAATCATATCACATACTAGTTCCTACCATCAAATCAATCTATTATAAGGTATATTAAACAATATAGCAGTACATCTTCAAATTCAAGAATTCAGCTAAATTGTAAGATAATAAATAAATTGCTAATCCCTTATAACTGTTTAATCCCCTTCTCCGAATCATACTGAATTATAATATTTTGGTATGCTTATTTTAGCTTCTGTAGTTTAGGTCACTTGATGAGATATTCAGTAACATGCTGTCACTAGAGACAAAACTTGACACTAAATAATCACTCGAAATAAACAGTATGAATTCTTCATATTTTCTTCTTTGGTAATACATCCATTCGTGAAAATTAGCATTCAAAGCTTTTCAATGCAATCATGAATTTAGTGATCTGACCCTTAAAATACTTTACAGGGGGAATAGTTTGTCCACCTGTAGCCCTTAGGTGTAGCATCCTTTTCTTGCCATATTTTCCTAGGCCTGCTGTAATACCTATTTCAGTGTGAAACTTTAGCATTGTTTTCCCATTGATTATTTGAGTTCTCACGTCAATAACATATGGAAATAAAAATGATAAGATGTCAAAAAGAGTAGTTTATTTTATCGTAAAAAATCAAAATAAAACAAGGTTTGGTCAGGAAGGGAACAGGTAAATCCTTGGGATATATGAATAATTAATTATAAGAAACATATTCATGTTTTTACAATTTAGGGTAACCCTGTGTATTATTCTACTGTGCATGGTTATACCGGTGCAAACTATTACAAACATATAATTTACTTATTATCATAATTCAATGTGACAATATCAGTCTTATCTTCAACTTTGTCTATATTTTAATAGTTTGCCTGTAAGGTTAGGCAAGCTGTCTATTACGTTGATAGTACAATATGTTGATTTTGCAAAGCTCTTATGGGCTAATTCTACAATATGTACAGTAACATATATGTAAGGGTGCCAGTATGTAGTCCAGTATATAGTAAATAAAGGAGTATTTTGGTCAACTCAAGACATCTGATAAACACTACATGAAGTGTTTTCTATGCAATGATTATATACAGGCGCACTTATTCATTGTTACTGCAAATTTCAAAAGCCTCCAAATTGTGTGGAATAGAGCATGCAATGTTTTTCAGTTTCAAGCAGGTTTTAGTACATTCCGACAAATTGTATTTTCAGACTTATTCATTTCATGATTATGTAATGCTTATCTGTTTAGCATATCTTTAAAGAAATCATCTCGATGAGTCATTTTGTAGTTTGTATTTTTCTTACAAAAAAATAACAATAACAATCTGCCACCATTTTGAAATCGGTAGCCATTTGAAAATTAACTTCCCGGCAGAATGTGTCATGTGCATATAAAACATGTATACTATCACAATGGTGGTTGTGTTATCACCTGGATTGATTGTGTTCTATTAAGTTCAAATTCAAGATACAATGAACTGATTGCATAAAACAATTAGATGCCAATACCTAGTGATAAAAAATCTTAAAGGCAGAATCAGACCTATTAACAGATTACTAAACCACATTTATACTAACATGAAGACATTATAAAATAGTTTCCTCTAATGAAGTATGCATTATGGGAATTTTAGAGATAATAGATCTAACAAGGAATGATATGAGCCCAATCTATTCCAAAAATGGCGCATTTTTTTTGTTAGGGTTGCTTGCTAGATCTGATACTACCTTTGAGAAAACAATGTAAATATATGAAACAAAAGGTATTACAATACACAAGAAGAAACAAATCAATTAAGAGTTCAGCTGTTCATAAGAAAACAAACCCCAACAGACATCAGAAAAAGATTCATAGCGATATGAACATCTTGCATAGACACATATCAAATATGCTGAGCTGTAATGGGATACTATTACCTTTATGACATTCTCAGGTGTGTGTGTCTCATCTTCCTCATCAACTGGCGGAACCTGGTGGCTCCCTGGAAATACATGTTTTATTAAATGTAAAAGTATTCCCTCTGAAATTACTTTTTTGTATTGAACAGCCTTTTCATAAAATAGAGTGCTACTGAGGAGTGCTCAGAGTGCCTTTCTATGGATGTAGAAATTTAATTATTTTTTTTATGTATTGTAATCATTATCTACGATAGGATAATACATGAACTGAATATGCCCATTTTTAATGGATGTGGTTAAGTACTTTGAATATACTTGGAAATTTGGTTTCATACAACATTACATCACCACAAACGAGAAAATAGCAACTCCCTGAGTAGTGAATCCCGCTAAACAAAAAATATTATATCAAATCTCTTATCAATTTGAGTATGATATAACATGTCTCTTTTTGGCAATAGTTTCACCCATGATGAGATGAGGTATTAGCCTATTAAATTTAATCATGGATAACCCATTTATAATATAAACAAAATATAGTAGAATATGACAATAAATTTAAGGTTAGCTCAAACAATAGAGTATTATTCTTCATGCTGATACTTCACAACATAAACATATAATACCTGATAGATTTGAAAACCATATACATTATACAGACTTGTACAATACAAGATTTAAACCACCTTGTTATTTGCTACATAGAGTTGAACTATATAAAACATGGGAATGACATTCAAAAAGCAGAGTGGCTTATCCTAATAGAAATTGAAATGTTGTGACACCAATTTAAACTATCTCCTGTATTACAGTGTAAATTGACCTACAGTAACATGGCATTAATCACAGTCATTCATTACCACTAAGTAATTCAGCTAACAATGGATATCCCTGTGATGAAATGTTATGTCTGACTTTGCTTTAAAGTAGGAAATAGAGCTAAAGTAGGATGAAATGTATCCTGGCGCCTGATAATGACACTTAAAACTGAGTTTCAAAAAATAATGCACAAGCATAATATACACATGGGATAAATAGTTTAATATAATATATGAATATTAGTGACATGATCAGAATGACAATTTCCTAATTTTGCACTTGCTGAATATGGTAGCCACTTTTCCAAATGAAGATTTTATGGATATGTAAGTACAAGTGCCAAAAATGGAGATAGCTTTGATTTTGTGTTCACATGATTTTTAAAGTGGTTTTACTTTGAGGAATCTTTTGATTCATACCTGCTTTTTGTATTTTGCTCCTTTTCTGCTTCACAGATCCTGCATTTGTTGTTAAGCTTGACCTACTATCATATGCTGAATCTATGCTGCTGCTTACACTTTGCTTCCCCTCCTTATGCTCATCATCATCTAGAAGGAATATAACACTATTCTGATTCATTGTTAAAAGAAGTAGAAGAAACATAACCATATGGGCTGACATGTGGTAGAAAGGGTATCTGACCTTATTCCATTCAAGTTTCCTGACAGTCATTGTCAATCATAGTAACCATAACTTTCTCAATTCTGAGTCGATTGTCAGAAAATATTAAGAGAATAAGGTCAGATACATGTTCTCTATGTTGTGAATGTATAAAGCAAGAAAACTAAAATAAACAATACTTATTGAACACAATGTAAATTCTAATAAGGGCAAGTCAGCTGTCAACAGATTTAAGCAAGCTCCAATTAACCAAAGAATATACATACACATAGGCTAAAAACTTTCCAATAAACATGTATGAATCAATTCCAAAAAGGAAAAGACCAACAAATATTATTCAAAACAAACAGTTAGATGGACATTTAAATACCCAATTCAAATCCCCAATATACCAAATAATGATCTTACACATAAAGAATTTGTGTCTTATGACCCCTCCCCACAATTCAGAAAATGTTACATTAGCATTACAAGAAAAAAAGCTATACTGTACATAATTATTCAAATATTCAATTGGTGCTACTGGTAAACATTTATACAGAGTACTACTGACACATTGAACCTAAAATGTCCCAGTAGGCAGGCAAAAACACAATTCATCATGACTCGGGCAGTAATTTAACTGAAATTTACATTCTACAATATAATAGGCCTTTCATGGTAATAGAGTATGTCATTCCCAACATGGGAATCAATGATGACACTGACATAAGACAATGCAACATAGCATAAAGCTAGGCATTCAAGATGCTGAAGGATTGCATTTGTTGATCAATTAGACTGAATCAGATAAAGGTGACTATGGTGATGCTGCCATCAATATCAGGTTGATTCTTTAACCTACATGAATACCAATAAGTTCAGTTATACATTAGATCTCAAATTGCAATGTAGAGTCATATTTACAAGACAAAGTTATCATTATTGCACAAGTATAAGCGTGTAATGACCCTCGATAGCAAGTTGCTGCTACAGTCTAGCTGGAGTGGGTAGCCCTTATGGCTTGAGCGGTGAACTTTTGAGTGGAAGGCCCTGGGTTCAATTTCAATACGGGGTATTGAATTTAGCACTCCCTTTATGTCTAGTAAACCTGTTACACTACAGCTCCCCAGATGACTCACCTTTGCTTGTTTTTTTCAATTTGTCTTATATGGTTTAATTATCCAGTTCAACACAATGACAATAAAATATTAAAGGTTGAATATATAGTTTATCTGGACAATTAGTAATGAATAATCTTAATTATATTTCCATCTATATTTTGAAACATAAAGCGGGACTGATTCTAACATGACTTGGGTTCCTTAATATTTACCTAGCATGTCTAAAAAACAAATCAGTTTTAGATTTACAATTAACGATGATGTTTTTTTATAATATTCAACATTTAATTTTACAACAAATATATATTTGAAATTGGAAACATGCAGGTATCAAATTGGTAAATGATGTACTGGACAATCAACAGAAGCTAAAGAATATAAATATAAAGGGGGTATTAGACATTGCTTCTTTTCACGTTAGATCATGGTTTTGGGCTATATGGGGTTTGTTTTTCTTGACTGGTATGCACTTAGAGTTTGCTTTTTCTTGCTAAGTTCCATTACAACTTTTAGTCCTTTCCCTTTGGCACTAGTGCTTATATATTCAAACAAATGATTCCTAACAATACAGGTATCACGCTTGAATATTTTGTCATCCAAAATGCATTGAAAAACAATTGCACTTGGTCAGGATAAAATATTGTACAATAACATCATTATAAAAACATCAAAGTCAAAAGATTATAAACAATTAGTTATTAAAAAAGAAAATATAATACCAGGAGCTTGTCAACGATGGAATAATGAGTATCAAAATATTAATTGGTCTGATATTTGGAAAATGATTCAAAATATTGCTGAACCAATATTAAAGAGATAACAGTACAAAATATTGCATAGGGTATATCCAACAAATATTCTATTTATCTATTCAAATCGAAAATTGAAGGGAAAAACTCAAACAGTTGTAAATTTTACAGAGTGACTCATTCTCATTTCTTCATCTCTTGTAAAAAGGTAAAACATATATGGAAAGAAATAATGAACAAAATAAATGCAAAATTTGGATGCTCTTTAAAATTAAGGGAAAGGGAAATTTTGCTTAAATATACAAATAAGAAAAAAGATATTGAGAATTATGTAAATAATATTGTACTAATAACAAAAACTGTATTAGCAAGTATAAATATCCAAATTTAGAATACTTACTAGAACAAGAGCTATATATAAGAAAAGTCATGTGAAATTATTGTATACTATATGTATGTAAAATATTGTATAACTGTACTTGATAAATTGAAATAAAAAAATAAGAATAAAAAAAAATAAAAAAAATATATATATTTGAAATTACATTGGGAGATTATGGTGAGCATCTACCATAGTTTCTAAATTATGACTTCATAATTTGCTAAATTATAAAACATGACCAGTAAATACCTGAATTTGAAACATTGTGAGAACACTGAGCGCCCATGTTGTATTGATGGCATCTATGACATAATGTATCCTTATAAGAACTTGGTTTTCATAGATAAAAGCATCTCCTTAGATTTATGTTCTAACCATTTGTAAGTTGTGGAATCAACAAATGTATTTGATGCAGCACTTTATTTTCTGCATTAATTTTTGTTTCCCAATATGACCGTCTGTCGTACTGTTCCCTGTTTATATAACTGTTTCATTTTCTTTACTTGATAAACTTGGAAATGGCTTTCTAATCATATATGGAAATGCCCTGTCTTTCATTAACTGCATAACAGCAGCGATTGTTTGTATCTCATATAATCACGTTGCGTAGCATAGGAACTGACAGCAATGATTCAAGTATGGGTATTAAATCTAATTGGAATACATGGAATGACTGTGACATTCTCCATTGTAAATTAATAAAGTGAATATGATCACATATAATCAGTAATTGGTATCGCTAAATAGAAACACATGATGAACTATGATTGGAAAATAAGACAATCTAATGGATCACTGTATAGCTGCACTCACTATGAATGAAAATATGCATGGTAAATTGTCAAGCAAAATGGGCACATGAAAAAATGGTTAAATTGTTATAAAGACAGTAAACAGTCCAAAGTACAAAGAAAATAAGCCCCCTTGCTGCAGTATATCAAATGTTGTTTTTATTTATAACTAGACAACAACAACACCAAATCGTAGCAAATCCCATTGAACAGCCATGGCTGGAATTTTTACAATGACATGTATTGCAAATATTGTGGAACGACACACAAGCAAAGCCAGTATTTTCAAAATGGTTGCTCACTAGCAAATAGTTATCAGAAGGTGTAATATGCTATTTTAGTAGGCACAAATAAAATTTCAACAAAATCATACTCACGTATAAGTAAATGTAAATGTTCAGATGCTAAAATTTGGCTCCACTACCATATCAAATGTTAGAAAAAGATACCCAACATGCGCAAAAGATCCCCATCAAGGTTTGTATACAGCCCAGCCTATTGCCAGGTATAGTCAGTCTATACCAAAAGTATACTAAAAGTATACCTTGTTGATAGGTCTATACTGATACCAGACTGATACCATACCAATTAATAGGTATATATACTGAATATAGATCTGTAAATAGGTATGAAGATACTGAATATACTGAAAGTATACCTGTTTTACTTATGATTTTCAATAATATACTGAAAGCATACCAAACAAACTCTGATAAATACTGAATATACTGAAAGCATACCAGTTTTACCTATGATTTTCAACAGTATACTGAAAGCATACCAAATAAACTCTGATAAATAATGATTAGACTGAACGTATACCAGTTTTACTTTATCATTTTATAATATAAACGGCAAATGCAAAATTCATGATAAAACTATAAGTCAACAATTATTCATATGTAAGTTCTATTTTATGACCATTTGTTTCCACAACCTGTCCTACCAGACTAGGTGGCAGGGGAGCATTCCTGCTCATAATTACATTGAATGTTTTATACATTGAAAACACAAAAAATGAGAGAAAGATACAGTCATACTAAAATTTAAAAAAGAAATACAGTTAAAATTTGAAAGTTAAAACTTTGCATTAAAAATACATCATGAATAAAACTTGAATATAGTTAATATAAGAATATTAATTTATTTGTTGTATGTCTTTAGAAGTCTTCATAATCCTGCATCTAATTAATTAGATAATGTAATGCTAGAAAATAAGACTGCTATCCAAATTATTTTTTCTCATCTGCAGAATGATTTAAAATTTAAGGTATCTCATTGGAAGAGTCATATTCATCCATATCAGTCTACAGACTGACATGTTAAGACTGTCAGTATAGACTAAATGTCGACCTATAGGTATATACTGATACCATACTGAAAGTATACCTGTACGTATATACTGAATGTAGGGGGTAGGTACGAAAATTTTCGAACGGAATGCGTGACATATACGTGATTCGCGTGAAAAGTCCGAACAAAATGCGTACGTTTTTTTTCGTATTTTTGCTGTGTAGACGATCTTTTTTAGAAATTTATCTACAGAAATATTTTTGCTTGACAATTACCAGGTAAAATGCGTATTTGCGTGACATTTTCTGTCACGCAAAAATAACTGGCGTGACTTCAAATTCTTCAGCAAATGCGTGACAAATACGCAAATTGCGGGACAGTTGACAGGCCTGCAATGGGCTGGGAGTGAACCCCCGGGAACTAAACCAGCCATAGTTTTCTCATGATGACCAATGAGTTGTTGTTTCATTGTTTCTGCTTTATGGATTGGTGTTAACCAATTGATATCCTAATGGACTTTCAGAAATCTCATACCCATATTTTGTACGAATAGTAAAATATTGTACCATTTGCAGAAGTGATATGCTCAGGATTAAATTGATGTTAAAT